ATCCCCAAGAAACAAAGGAAAAAATCAGCTTCTTCAAAGAGAAATCAGGCCATACTACCCATTCTACTCAAAATTTCTTACTGGTTCCCCAGTGCTCTGAGAATAAAAACCAAATGCCCCATGTGGTCTAACCCCTTCCCTTTGCAGCTCCCCTGTCACCTCTCCCGTCTCTACTTGTCCTCCAAGTTCCAGCTCCACTGACCCATTCTGTCCTCCTCAGGCTTCATCACTATTTCCTCTAGGCAGAATAAATGATCTTCTCACTCCATATATCTGGCTTCTTCTCAACCATGGGGTCTCAGCTTAACCATCGCCACCATAGAAAGGCCTTCTCTGACCAGATCACGTAAGAGAAGCCAACTGTCCCTTCTTTCCTTTACCTCATGTGCTTTGTATTCCTCATCACAACCTCTAATTACTTTATTTGCTAAACCATTTAAAACTCATCTCTACTATGAGAATGTAAGCAACATGAACTCTCTCTTGCTTACCAAGTAACCTCTAGTATCTAACAATATCTTTGGCACAGCGTAGATGCTCAGTAAAGATTTGTTAACTTCAGGTCTTACTGCAAAACAATATTCTCGATCCAATCTTTAAAGCTGGGCCAAATACAGTGGCTCATGCCTGTAATCCCAGCACTTTGGGAGGCTGAGGAGGGCGAATCACTGGGTCAGGAGATTGAGACCGTCCTGGCCAACACAGTGAAACCCTGTCTCTACTAAAAATACAAAAACTAGCTGGGCATGGTGGCATGCACCCATAGTCCCAGCTACTCTGGGGCCTGAGGCAGGAGAATCGCTTGAACCTGGGAGGCAGAGGTTGCAGTGAGCTAAGATCATGCCACTGCACTCCAGCCTGGGCGACAGAGCAAGACTCTGTTTCAAAACAAACAAACAAACAAACAAACAAAAATTAGCCAGGCATGGTGATGTGTGCCTGTAATCCCAGCTACTTGAGAGGCTGAGGCAGGAGAATCACTTGAACCTGGGAGGCAGAGGCTGCAGTGAGCCAAGATCCCGCCACTGCACTCCAGCCTGGCAAGAGCAGTACTCCATCTCAAAAAAATTAAATATAATGAATAATGCCTCCTTAAGTCATGAATATTTCAGTTAAAAACACACAAAACCCTACTCAGTGGCATTCTTCAAGTCATGATGCTTCTTCTCCCCATTAGTCCCATCAATCTCATAACCCCGGAAGGCGGCAGCTAGCCTTCACTGCTGACTGGTAACACGCAACTGCCACCTTGATGGACGATTTCTCAAAACTGAAGCTAGGGCTAATATAGAGTCTAAGTTACCCACCTAGCAGTACAATAATCATGTTATCGGAGTGCTCCAACAACACTAATGGTTTAAGGATTCTCTTCAAAATCCCGAGGAAGCAACAATTCGTACTCCTACTGTAGAATCTGTTTGAAATCTGACTACGACATCTATTACCTAAGTGTTAAATTCTTAAGGAGGAACGTAATGAGACTGAGGCAGTCATTTATTTTCCAGAAGAAATTTTGTTACTTCCTTGCTCCCATCTCCATTGGCTAGCCAGTGGTCACAAGCTAAAGCCTAACACAAGCATGGAAATTAGACATTATGACAAAGCAGTCTACTTCTAACTTCATCTCAGGCCACTATTCCATCCACACACTCTGCACTCCCTTTAGCAATCAATCCTCTACCCGCTTCTTTTCCCTGGGCAACCACTGATCTCCTCTCTGTCTAAAGCTTGCCTATTTTGGACATTTCGTATACATGGAATCGTATATGTGGTGTTTTGTGTCTGGTTGCTTTCACTTAGCATAATGTTCTCAAGGTTCCTCCATGTTTTTAATTAGTACTTCATTCTTCATTCCTTTATGTTTTTTTTTTTTTTTTGAGATGGAGTCTTGCTCTGTCGCCAGGCTGGAGTGCAATGGCACGACCTCAGCTCACTGCAACCTCTGTCCACCAGGTTCAAGCGATTCTCCTGTCTCAGCCTCCTGAGTAGCTGGGGTTACAAGCATGGGCCACCACATCCAGCTAATTTTTGTATGTTTGGTAGAGACGGGTTTTCGCCATGTTGGTCAGGATGGTCGTAATCTCCCAACCTCGTGATCCACCCTCCTCAGCCTCCCAAAGTAGTGGGATTACAGGCGTGAGCCAATGCGCATGGCCCTTCATTCCTTTTTATTGCTGAACAGGCTTCCATTGTGTGGACAGGCCACATTTTGTTTGTCCATCTATCAGCTTTCCATCACAGTCCCTGCACACACCATGACCTGTATGTCACTGCAGAGCAAAGTCCCTTCCCACTCTTCCCCATTCCCGCATATGTACCCTGTAAGAACCAGTCCTCCTCCACCAGGAAGTCTTCACAGATAACTTGGTTGGTTCTTCTCCGCTTTCACAGAACTCCATGAGGGCAGTTATCACACAGCACCATCATTATCTGTTTTCTCTGTCCTTCGATGGACTCCTTCTCGTCTTTGCTTACCTTCTTTTAGTCTATATACTTTGTGGTGCTCCAAAAGACCGATAAAGAATATGGTACAATCAATGCTCAAAACACGTTTGTTGAATGAATCTGTCTCACAAAACGCTGTGCTAGGTCCACCCAAGTATGACAGTCCTAAATATAACAAAGTGGCAAAAATCCAGTGAACTCTTATGTCAGGTCCAAAGAATACATTCATTTTTAAACTGAACACACATTTTGAAAAGGAGCTTGTGGCCGAGCGTGGTGACTCATGACTGTAATCCAAGCACTTCGGAGGCCAAGGCAGGTGGATCACCTGAGGTTGGGAGTTCAAGACCAGCCTGACTAACATGGTGAAACCCTGTCTTTAAAAAAAAAAAAAAAGAAAGAAAAGCAGCTTGCTTCTAACTTAGCTATTCACAAAGCCATCCATCTAATCTCACTGAGCTCTCTGTACAACGCTGAATCTAGAAATCTCTTCATGATTGACACCAAAGCTTTTCATTATAACCCCTTCCTGATCTATTCCTCATCTTCCCAGGTTCAATCAATTGCCTCTGCCTGATGCCTGTTTTCTGCCTTTTCTTCCCACTAAGTTCCAGTAGCCATTTTGCTCAACTCATAGAGCGGCTAATATGAAATGAGGTCCTTCCCAAACTTAAATGTAACTTCTTTATTTTTATTTTTAAGACGGAGTCTTGCTCTGTCTCCCAGGCTAGAGTGTAGTGGCATGATCTCGGCTCACTGCAACCTCCACCTCCCGGGTTCAAGCCATTCTCCTGCCTCAGCCTCTCGAGTAGCTGAGATTACAGGTGCCCGCCACCATGTCCAGCTTATTTTTTATATTTTTAGTGGAGATGGGGTTTCACTATGTCGGCCAAGCTGATCTCGAACTCCTGACCTCATGATCCGTCCGCCTCAGCCTCCCAAAGTGCTGGGATTACAGGCGCGAGCCACTGTGCCCGGCCTAAGTGTAACTACTATAAGTAAAAAAAATAAAATAAAAACACTAGGAAAAAATTCCCGTAGATGCCAGTCTTCTATTGAAAAAGACAAGGTGGCTATAAAATAACTGATACCTAATAAAAGCTACTTACTAGTCACTCCTTTGGAAGAGGGCTGTCCTCACTCCATGTTCCCCACCACTGGTTTTCCAAGTCAGTATTGAAAATACAAGTTCTGTGTCTCCTATATTTGCATTTAGTTCTCCCTTTGAAAGCTCAAAGGACAGACCATGATCTCCCTGAGGCAGTGACCAGGTCTGTCTGGTTCACCACAGCACACCTAGAGCCAGCCTGGCACAGTGACTGGCACGCAATGGAGTCAAAAAAAACCACCAATACGGGACGTAAGTCAGGTTAATAACAACAGCAAACCAAGGTCAGAGGTTTATCAAGGTACATTAAAGCTGGGTGCGAGAAAACACAAAGCCTTGCTACTTAAAAGACCAGGAATCGCTGGTGATCCCACAAGGAGCTACAGTGGCTTCATTCCCAGATTCTGCCTATGCCTGGGATTTGGGTTTGGGGATTTCCCAGAACTCTCCTTCTGTTTACAAGACCTTGGCTACAAGGAGGCAGTTAACAAGTGCAACCGATCACTCCAGTAGATGAGAAAAGGATGCACCAAGGCTCCTAACCCACATTCTGACAACAAATGGAACATAAGTCACAAAATTCCTGAATCCCAGTAAGAAAGAGAGGAAGAAAAAAGTGCAGGGAAGTAGAGAAGGGAAAACTAAAGTCATGAGAAGTCAGAGACGTATCAGAAGGGACGAAAGGGCGAGGAGGCAGGCTAGCACAGATGACAGCAGGGCTCCCCTTTACCGGAATGTACAGCAGCAGGCACCGTCCTTAACTTTACATGCACTGACCCATTTAATCCTCTCACCAGCCAGAGGTAGCAACTATTCTCATCTCCATGCCACTGGTGATGAAACCGGAGCGGAGTGAGGTAGGGCACTAGCCCCAGCACAGAGCTAGGAAGGGGCCCGCTATCACCTGCCCGGGTGTGACTCCAGGGCACCCCATCCTTTAACCCTTACTACCTATTCTGCCTCCCAGGCCTTCAAACAGGATTGGGAAAGGAGTCATTCGCTTATCCATTCATCGAACACTGAACACCTACTGGGTGAGTGTCAAGGCCTGCGGCCAGGCGCCGGTGGGTGGATGTAAGGGACGGGAGCTGAGAGTGGGGGACAGAACGCGACGTCAATCCTAAGGCGAAGGAGCAGAGCCCGCGGCCAGCCCGGCAGCTGGGATGCAGGGTGGGGCCGAGGGCGTGGGACGCGCGGCGGAGGCCCGAGGAGGGGCGGGCTGCCCCTGCTCCCCGCTGCGGACCGCCGGCTTCTGCGGGCGGGCTTCTGCAGGCGCTCCGTGTGTGCTGGCATTTAGGGTCCGCCACTCCGCGCGGGCGAGACGGGGCGGAGGAGGCCGGGCGGACGGGCATGGAGACCCTGAGGGGCTGAGGCGAGGGAAGAGAGGAGGGGGCGCGGGGCCAGGCGTCGGGGGCGTCGGGGCCGCCTGCGGCGTCGCCGGACTCACCTCCCGCGGCAGCCCCTCCGGACTCGTCGGCCCAGCCGGGCCGGAGGAGGCGGGGATGGACTCCGGGCCGCGGAGGCTGCCGGGAGCCCGTTCCCTGGGCAACGGGGCAGGCACCGCGGCCGGCACCGGAGAGCAGCAGCTGGCTCCACCGGGGGCTAGAGCGGCAAAGCCACAAGTGGCAGCGGGCGGGGCGGACGTGACGCAAACGCGCTTCCGGCGGGAGTGGGCGGGGCTTCACGTCTCTTTCGAGGGATGTCTGCGAGCCGCCTGGAAGGTGCGTTAGAGGGGTCTGTATTCCGGGGCGGGGTGGCTGTGGTTGTTACTGCTTGGGCCTGCCGCAGGTTTGGCCAGAAGCTCAGGAGCTCCCAGGATTAAATGGGATTAAGTGGGGGTCCATGCCTTGCCCCAGCCTAGAGCCCGCAAGCCCCGTGCAGCCTTTGCAGGCTGGATCGGGAGAAAGTTTCGCCGAGGCTCCGTTTTATCACTAGTGGAATGACAGATGAACGGCATTATACGCAAAGGAGTGTCAGCATGTCAGACATTCCCAAATTGTAATTATTGTCACTATAAATTACCACTAACGGAGCTCACTGGGTGCCAAGCCTTGCATGCTCAGCTCCTCCAGAAACCCCTCTCTGAACTCCCTCCGTCAGAACATTCTGCTTTTAATTAAAGCGGGCTTTCGGCGAGTGCTCAGTCTGCTGAGTACTGCTCCAGGTACTTTAAGTGGATCAGCTCATTTGAACCTCACAGTCGTCCCATGAGGTAATGTCAGTCCCATTTTGCAGATGGGGAGTCGAAGCTCAGAGGGGATAAGTAACAGCCACCGTGTTCTCACCCCGCCCTGTTCTGTGACGCTGATGACTGATCTGTCTTTACTAGCCCTTGAGTTTCTTTTTCTTTTCCTTTTTTTAAGACGGGGTTTCATCATGTTGGTCAGGCTGGTCATGAACTCCCGACCTCGGGTGATTTGCCCGCCTTGGCCTTCAAATTGCTTGGATTACAGGCGTGAGCCACCATGCCCGGCCGCCCTTGAGTTTCATGAAGTCAGTTATGGTTTTGGTTCCTAAATATGTGCCCGGTATGGGTCAGGCTGACCACGAATCAGATGTGATCCTGCCTTCAGAATCTCCTGTTGTGGGAGAAAAACCCTTAGACAATTATAGAACAGGTGTTAAGAGCTATTCCTCCATTTACCTCATTTTATGCAAAGCCTCCTATGTGTGAAAGGTTTGAGAAAGAACAGTACATAGTTCCTAACCTAGTGGAATTTCCAGTTTAGCGGGGAATATAGACATTAAACAAGCAAGTACACTGCACTGGTGAGTATCATGATAGCAGAATTATAGGATGTTCCAGATGTCTAGCGGTGAGTCCTAACCCACCCTGCGGGATGCAGGAATACTTCTCTGTGGAAATGACTTTCTGAAAACCCAAATCAGATAATTTCACTGTCCTTCCAGAGCTCGTTGCTTACTCTTCATTGTATTAGGTTGGTAACTGCGGTTTTGGCCATTAAAAGTAATGGCAACACCTCAGTTACTTTTGTACCAACCTAATTCTTAGAATAAGCCCAAACTTCTTATCTGCCTGTTAGGTGGTAGTTGTCTGATCACCTCCTCACCCACTAGTCCTCTTCTGTCCACTTCATTCTAGCACACTGTTTTGTTTTGTTTCTGTTTTTCGAACTCACTAAGCTCATTCTCATATTAGGACACATACTACTGGCCTACCCTTTTTCTGGTTTTTCATTATTCAGATCTCAGCCTAAATGACACCTTCTCAAGGAGTCACACTAACACAAGGCCCTATTTTATTTTCCACACACACTTATCATGATCTGAACTGATCGTGGTCATTTAATTGTTTATTATCTGCCTCCCCCTTGGAAAGTCAGTTCTATGAAAACCGTCCTGATCTGTCCCATTCAGTCACCTCATTCCCCCATGCCTGGTGTATTATAGGCAGTAAGCAAATATTTGTTAGTTATTTAAGTAAAGAATGAATGATAAATCAATATGATATTTAAAAGTGAGGATACTAAGCATGAGGCAGGGGAGTGAGGACACACACAGATAGGAAAAACATTCCAGGTCAAAGTCAGAACTTGTACAGAGGGCAGGTGGGAAAGGGTGAACCTGAAGTGGTGGGCAGAACTTGGATAGTGGAGGCCCTTGAGCTAACAGGTGCAATGCTAGGTTTTTGCCATGTGCCAGACCCTCATAGCTTCACATATATAACCTAATTTCAGCAATCCTGTGAATTAGGTAATATTTTTATCCCCATTTTACAGATGAAACTGTTGAGGCTCTGAGAGGTACATTAACTTGCCCAAGATCTCATAGCTGTCAGAGCTGGGATTCAGACGCAGGCACTGTGGTCTTCTGACTTGAGACGACAAGCCATCCAGCTGTTGTGTGTCTTGGATTCCTCAAGGAGACTTTATCCTGTGGGCTGTGAGAAGCCTTTGCAGGGTTCAGAGTAGAGAAGGCAAGAGGGCACGAGAGGGCTGGGGGAGAACAAACAACCTGAGTTGGCTCTTGGTGGTCTGGGGGTTGCCTCCCACAGGCAGTGGGATCTGGGAGCATAGGTGTCAAGAGGCTGAGGAAGGAAGGCGCTTTCCTGCAGAGAGAACTGTGCAAACCTCAGCAGGCACCTCAGCTGTTTAAGAGCTGCCAGTAGTTCATTTTCACTGGAAACTGATGGGGGGCCAGTGTGTGGGTTGATGTATATATTGATGCCGAGGCGTAGCTAGATCTGGAAGGATTTTGGACTTCTGAGTTCCAAGCAGGGCAGTGGCAGCATCATGATCAACACTGCATCTCTTTTGTCTCAGTGTTGTGAAATGATGAGCACTCATGAGCCATGCCACTCTGAACAAATGTAAAGTATCAGAGTGCCTGAGACTAGATAGTGGAAGTACTCGGGAGTGAGGGCTAGATTATCCTGTAGGGAAGGTAAAGTGAGCCTTTGAAGAGTTTTAGCAGAAAGTTACAACTTTACCTTATTTCCAATCTTTGGGGAAAAAAAGTGCTTAAGGTAAAAACTTTGTGGAACCATTAAGCTGGAAAAGGATTCAGCTATATCTGGTTAATCTTAAAATGTTAAAAATATTCTGTGTTGTCTTCTTCCAGGAACGTTCACATTTATTCAGACTTTGTAGTTTCCACAATTTATCTGTTCACTTGATACAACATTTTAGATAGTTTTACTGTTGAAAATTATGAGGGCATTTGCCCTCCAACTGTGATTGTGTATTCCATGGTAATAATTTTGTTTCTTTTACACCCTATCAGCAAAGACTGTTGGAATTGTAACGCCCAGAAAACCTGTCTTATCTGTCAGTGCAAGAAAAATTAAGGACAATGCGGCTGATTGGCACAATTTAATCCTGAAGTGGGAAACCCTCAATGATGCAGGTTTTACTACTGCGAATAATATTGCCAACTTGAAAATCAGTTTATTGTAAGTACATACAGGTTGTTCATGCTCTTAAGTTTTTCACCCTTAATAACTGGGGAAGGCCGGGCGCGGTGGCTCAAGCCTGTAATCCCAGCACTTTGGGAGGCCGAGGCGAGTGGATCACGAGGTCAAGAGATCGAGACCATCCTGGTCAACATGGCAAAACCCCGTCTCTACTAAAAATACAAAAAATTAGCTGGGCATGGTGGCGCGTGCCTGTAATCCCAGCTACTCAGGACGCTGAGGCAGGAGAATTGCCTGAATCCGGGAGGCGGAGGTTGCGGTGAGCCGAGATCGTGCCATTGCACTCCAGCCTGGGTAACAAGAGCGAAACTCCGTCTCAAAAAAAAAAAAAAAAAAAAAAAAAAAAAAAAATAACTGGGGAAAAGTTTCAGGGGAGTCTTTACATTTTATTTTTTGTTTTTGGTGACGGAGTCTCACTCTGTCCCCCAGGCTGGAGTGCAGTGGCACGATCTCAGCTCACTGCAACCTCCACCTCCCAGGTTCAAGTGATTCTCCTGCCTCAGCCTCCCGAGTAGCTGGGATTACAGGTGCCTGCCACCACACTCAGCTAATTTTTGTATTTTTAGTAGAGACGTGGTTTTGCCATGTTAGCCAGGCTGGTCTCAAACTCCCGACCTCAGGTAATCCTCCCACCTCGGCCTTCCTAAGTGCTGGGATTACAGGCATGAGCCACCGCACCCAGCCGTGTCTCGCTTTCTTTCAATGTGGATGCATCCATGTAACGTAGAGCCATTATTCTGGTTCTCTTCTTTCTCATTGCTGTTTAATCGTGTTTTACCCACAGTAGACCTCTCAAACTCTGCCACTGGTTTATCAACTAAGTTATTATATATTCTTAATCTTTTGTTGTCATTTCAACAATGTACACAGCATCTTCCCCAGGAAGAGATTCCATTTCAGGAAACCACCTTCTTTGCTCAGCCGTAGAAAGCAACTCCTCACCTGTTCAAGTTCTCTCATGAGGTTGCAGCAACTCAGTCCCATCTTCAGACCCCACAGCTCATTCTAGCTCTCTTGCTTCTTGCACTGGCAGAGTCCATTCAGCATCATTCGTAGGGGCCCTAGGATTTTGAGAATGGTAAATGAGCATTCACCTTAAAGTCACCAACTGCAATGTACCCTAACAAGAGGGTCAGCCTGTCCCTTGAAGCTTCGAAGCCTGTCATTGGCTTCTCTCTAGTTATGAATGTCTTGGATGGCATGTTTTAATGGAAGGCTGTTTCATCTACATTGTAAATCTGTTGTGTAGTGTAGCCACCTTCATAACTGATCTTTGCTAGACCTGGATAACTTGCTGCGGCTTCTGCATTAGCACTTGCAGCTTTTATGTTATGGAGATGGCTTTTGCCCTTAAACCTCATGAACCAAATCCTGCTGGTCTTAAACTTTTCTTCTGTAATTTCCTCATGTCTCTCAGCCTTCATAGAATTGAAGGGGGTTAGGGCCCTGCTCTGGATTAGGCTTTCACCTAAGGGAATGTTGTGTTTGGTTTGATCTTCTATCCGGACCACTCAGACTTTCTCTATATCTGCACTAAGGCTGTTTCACTCATCATTCACATGTCCACTGGAGTAGCACCTTTAATTTCCTTCAGTAACTTTTCCTTTGCATTCACATGGCCAACTGTTTGGCACAAGAGGCCTAGCTTTCAGCTTATCTCAGCTTGTGATATGCCTTCTGCACTAAGCTTAATCATTTCTAGCTTTTAATTTTTTTATTT